TGTATGTATCTAATTATCTAATCTAATCTAAAATTTCTTAAAACCACCTACCATTTTCAATGAGGTGAACACGCAGAGCGGCCTTAAATTTCATATTATCCTCTATATTAACAATAACTCCTGGAAGTCTATTCCATTGATTGATCGCCCAAGGAAAGAAACTATTTGCATGCTGATTACAATTTAAATGTGGTCGTAAAAAAGTCATAGAGTTACCTTAAATTGAGATGCGAGGTAGAGGAATAAGATACAAGTCTCTCTCGATTGCACGYTACGTCATCGCGGCCATGTTGGTGCCATTTAACAAAAGATTTCTCATTAGCATCCATTGTTAACGGCACCACAATGGCCGCCATGTCTTTGTCTTTTGACTCTCTTGGGAATGCTTGCAACCCATCAATAGTCCGATATACCATACGATGAAACATAGCCAATCGAGAGAGAACTCTTCTACCTTCAACGGATGGCTACTCCAATTTATTGTATTACTGAAACGTATTTCTAGAGTTKCTTTTCGTTTTGGAGTCGGTGACTGTTGTCACATCAAGGGAACTGCTGTAAGATATCGCTTGCTCGCAGGAACAAGAAAAAATCACTCAGCTAAAATTAAGAAGGAACAAGATGTTTATGAGAGATTAAAAGCCGAGTTTTAAAGTACAACAAATTCGATTTTTTTCACAAAATTATAATAAAGCCTTACATTTAATTCTCAAAAAAACTAGTAAAAAATATCTCGATTAAAAGCACATTATGATAATACCCCTGGTTGTATTCTCAATATTAGCGTGACGAAGATTGTGTTGTGGCTTGATCGCTGCCTAGCCAATGCGACCTACTTGTTTCAACCAAGTTCATTTACAAACGAAAACGACCTTTTCTTTCTTTCTAGATAACAACTGTGCTGACAGATTGATTGGTGTAGAGAACAGATACATCATACCTGACAGCAGTTTTACAGCAACTTCTAAATACGACGACAGATACTATCCATATCACGCTAGACTCAATAGTAACTTGAAAGGATGGTTACCAAGAACACAATCAGATCCAAATGATTATCTACAGATTGACCTTGGGCTCCCTTACGTCATCTGTGCTGTAGCCACACTGGGTTGCAGTGATTGTAATGAGTGGGTGACACAGTATAAGATAAGTCTGTCCATGGATAATACAAACTGGTCTCTTTACAAAGAAAATGGGGCAGTAAAGGTAAGAAATCAATTGTTATACAAGCATTGAGAAATCTACTTTTATGAAAGTATTGACTGATAAGTATTGAAAACCACAGTTGTCTTTATTCAATCAGGAACCATGCTTTAATCAGGAAATGAACTGAATGTGAAATTATTTAACCTGCTCTTTTGTCTCCAGTCAGTTAACACTGAAATTGCAATTGATCCGCATAAGTGCATTCCAGTGTTGGAAGAATAACCTCTTTTATGGAAATAGCTGTCTTCATCACAACTTACAAAAGGAATCCAACATAATGATGATGTTTTAATGTTCTATTCGGCAGCAGTAGTTTTGTTGAAAAGTCATGTCATTTTTTATGATTTCATGTTTCAGTTGTTTGATGGAAACACCAACTACGGAACCATTAAAAAAAATACCCTTACCAAACAATTGACGAGATACATCAGATTCATACCTACAAAGAAATATCGCGATAAAACAATGAGAGTAGGGATCTATGGATAYTTAAAAGGTAAAACTTTTAATACATAAAAATACTAGATATATTGAGCGGCTTCAGAGGACGCGGGCACACGATGCGGCGACATTGTAGAAAGTAGAAACGATCGTACTCGCATGCTCCGCCACTTCTTTCAAATACACTTATTTCAATAAAGTTAGTCACCTGAAAAGCTATAAAGCTGAGGCCGACAAGGATTATGGGTAGATTCATTTTACACGTTCAACCGCTTGATAACTGTTCATGGACTTGCGAATTTTTTATCAGTTACAGTCTCACGAGCATCATCGAGCTGCAGTTTGTATAAAAAAAGCTTTGTATATATATGCTTTTTTGATATGAAAAGTTTCCCATGATGCCCAGTGATCTCAGCTTTCTAGGTTTTTGGTGACTAACTTTATTGAAATAAGTGTATAAATATTCACAACAGCGTTCTACAAACGAAACATACTTGCTATACATTAAGTCTGATTATATCTTTGGATAGAGCGCAATTATTTGGCAGTAATACACTCGAGTGCATGAGAGATGAATACGAAAAAACAAAATGAATTTTTAACAACTAAAACCAGCTACACTCACTCTTTGAATGGCTAGGCTCCAACATGGGCGATGTAATCTGGTAGTCCCTTCCAAAATATATGCAAATCAGGTCTA